GTGGGTTCGGCGTCCCTTCGCCCTAGGCCAGGGCTTGGAAGCCCCAAGGGATACGACCGCGGGCTATCCGCCTCACAGGGAAGCGCCGCCTGTCAGCCCTCCCCGGGGAGCCGCACCTGCCGCCGTGCGGGGCGCGGTGAGAAGCTGCTGCGGTCCGTACTGCAGCTGTAAAGTACGGGGTACCGCCTGCTCCCAGAACCAAGTGCAGGCTGGAGGATTTTTACCCTATTTACAGCTTCTGTCTGAGGAAGACAGGACTGTGTCGTTGGGACAGCGGCTACGGCACCTCAGCGCAGAAACGCCTCTCTGAAAGCGGACTCGAAATCGGGAACGCTGACTGACAACCTGGCAGACCCCCAGCTGCCCGGCTCTTCAGGGAAACAAATCGCGGTACTTTTTTTTTTGCAGTAAAACCAGTACATTACGTAGCCTTTTTTCTCCTCCGATCAGAAACAAGTCCCCGCCCTGAATTTAGACAACTCAAACAGAGGTTTTGCCATGAAATCTCAAAGGACTCCTTTAAGAAGTGGTTTACTTCCCTGCGTTTATCTCTCCTGTGTTGTCTTTCTCTAGGCAACTGCCATTACTAGCTTTTTATTTTATTTTCTAGTGACTCTGCACTTGCAAAAACTTGGTGTTTCTGACAGAATAAGAGTACAGTGTCGTTATTCTTGACAGCTACCAAGTGTCTGGGCTGTCATTACGCAAGAAATACACTGCAAACTGAAATATTCCTTCGTGATTTGCATACCGTAGTTGTGAATTTGAGTTACTAGCAGGAGCACTTTCCACATAAAAAGGTTTTTCGACTCGGAGTATCTCAGTGAAACTGCAGCAGTTCTCAGCAAGTTGAAAATAACGTGTGTTATTTTTTACTGCCGCATCCACATGTGGATTGCTAAATCTCAGCGCAAGGCAGAAATTAACACTGAGGTTATTTTTTAGGGCAGTCCTTTGTTAAGTTCCTGTTATAACTGCCTGGTTTGTTTTCCTAATTAGTTTTGAAACTGTTTGCTTGGAACCAAATTATATTAAAACACTGTGAAGATGGAGAAATTATAATTTTTTTCTTTGAAGTACAGGACCTTTTTTTATGAATGCTTAGGTTTTCTAATTTAAGCAATCTCATTGACTTGCAATGTAAATAAAGTTAGATGCAATAACTGTGGTATTTGGATGTAAAATTTTTCTCTTTTCTGAGCCAGAAGCCTTGAACTTCTGCCTGGTTTAACTGTTTTCCAGTTAGAAGAGTAATGTCTGTTTGTTTGGCTTCAGGTTGAAATGCTCTTTCTACATGCCTTTTTTTTTCTCCCTTTCTTTTCTTTCCAAACCTGTTGCTCAATACTGGAACTGCACCTTCCTAGAACTGATTTGGAAGCCACATGCAGAAATGCTGTCCTGCAGTCCTCTTCTACTATGTCTGTTCTGTCCAGAACTAGAAAATGACCCCTGTAAGAGAATTAGGTTGAAAAAAAAGAAATGTAGCAAGGAAATGTATCAAGATGATGAGGGAAAAAAGAATAACACAGATCTCTGCCATCTGCATGAAATATCAGAAATTGCTGGGTGTTATATGAGCAGGTAGCAGCAGAGGGAACTCTGACATCTGCGTCTGGAAGCAGACGAGGCATAAGCATTTAGTCTTTCGGCCAAGTTCTCACACAAAACAAGATTCCCCTTCTCTCCAAAACCAGTGCGGTTGTACCTACTTCTGCTGGTTCTGTGAAATTTTGCAATGCACTTGCATGGCCCATAGATACACACAACAAAATGCCAGGAGACTTCATGGGGCCTTACTGCTTTTGATCACGTACACAAGAGTCTGAGGTCAACTCAGCACAGAAAAAAGTGTATTCAGAAAAAAATGTTTAGTGGGATGACAAACTAAAAATGTTATAAGCCACCACATAATAGAAACAAAAAAATAAACTTAAGGGAAGAAAGAAGGAAAAGTGAAGTTTAAGTGTGGTTGCAAAGTTCATGCTTTGTATTATTTTAAATTTATTCTTGAGTATGACAATATGACACTTAAGTGCATACCTACATGCTTACAATTTTCCAAAACTGCATCATTCATGTAGAAGAAAAGCCCTATAGTTTTGTGTGTTTTGTAGAAGTCACTACTGTGATAGTTTTATCTGACTTCATTTATGCAGGTTTAATCTGTACCTTTTACAGACGCATTGCAGACAGGGCTTCCTGCTTGTCCCATTCACCTGTTCTGTTCCAGTCAATGTCTGTGATGGACAGCGTGTTGATGTTGTTCTAGTCTCACAATTTGAAATGTTCATCATATCAAAGCAATGGAATAGCATACAGGGCGTTTGGTGTTTATGTTACCCCTATGTAAAGCCACCTATTTGTTTCTGCACCATACTCCTAATGGCCTGGGCAGATATACCCAGGTGGCATAGTGCTCACATAGCCAAGTGGATCTATGGGAGCTATCCCAATTCATAAATTACCTATGTCTTTAACAAGACATAAATTAGGCAAAGGAGATGCAAATGTGCAGAATTTTGCAGAAATTTGTTTCTTACAATTGGTGTACATGAAATAAAGGTTTTATTACCCATTTATTCTTTCATATATTCAACCAGTAGAAGACAAGGGAAGAGTTCCTACCATTTCCCTGATGTCTTCTGTCTCATGTCTCACAAACAACAGCTCATCACTTCAGTTATACAAACAAACCTTAACATATAACCAACATGCCATTTAGTTAAAAGTTGTTTAAATGTTAACTACTAATGTGGAGATAATACAGACATCTCCTGCATTTGAACAGGGCTTTGTATGCATGTTTGGGTGCTTTAATATTTTATTATTTTGCATTTAAGTTAGAAGCAAGGTAACAATTATTCACATTATGTTATTTAAGACATGTTACTTTCTTGCCTGGATCTTTTATCTCCCCCCCCCCCCCCCCCTTTCTTATGCAATATTAGCCAATGGTGTCCCTGTTTCATATTTTGCTTATTTTAAAAGGTTTAGCTCATACTTTCATAGCAAAGACTCTGTAATTCATTTACATTTGGTCAAAGGCATTTTTTTCTTCTTAGCTTGTACCAAACCAATTGAATTAGAAAAATGGAAGGGCAAGCTTTTAGTTGGCCATGCACTGCTGCACTCATACATTTTGAACTCTATGGATTTAATTAACAACCCTTTTGGTTTCTTTTTGTTACTAAAAATTAGACATATGCAGTGCTTCAGTTCATTATGTATCTTTTCTTGTTTGGTATGGTTTAGCTAACAATGGCATCCACACCGAATCTGAAAGAATCTACTGGCAACCAAAGTTCATGGGATACCTTGCTACCAGATTTCCCTAAAGGACCGCTTTGCAAATATCGTAAGAAAGCTTCTTTCAACTGGAAGGAGATGGCAGTGTTAGTAGATGGTGAAGATATCATCCAGCTTAAGGTAAACTTTGCAAGAATTGTAAGTATGTTTTAGTTTTGGAGATAGTAGAAGCAAGTATGTGATTTTCAAAGAGAGAGTATTTACTTTAATAATACTCTGTAGGTATACAGCATGAAGAAATTGGTTTTGCACATCCAATTTTCAGAACAGAACTGAACTTTTAAGCATCCTACTGTGCTGTCTCATAAGGGTTATTTCATTACTGATTATCAGTACAGGGGAGACCATCAGGTGCTACATTACAGAACTCTAGCATTCATTTCAAACTGAGAAAGAACTATATTCTACCATATTTCTTTACTGTAATATTTGCATTAAATCATATATCTCATGGTTTTACAATGCACTTAAGCTGAGCTAAGTTCGTGCCACTGTTAAACATAGTATTTCTCTCTTTCTTTGACCTGACATAATTTTCTATCATCTTCTGTGCTTGCATTAATGCTTATGTGGTGTTAATGTGGACAGTATGCCACATAAGCATGTCTACATAACATTATGTAGACATCTGTGGACAGATTAGCATGCCTACATTGCTGAAAGTTAACCCTACCAAAAAAGGAGATTAATTGCAGCACAAGAGATGATGTGAGAATGCATGATTTGGAGAGGGAGGAGACAGAACTGGCTTTTTTGAAGATGGTATAGATTTACATAGATTAAGCTAATCTTGAACATTCACCATAATTACTAAAATCTTAGGTGAATCAGAGAAACCAAAAATTCCTTGTTCTGCATCTGACTAATATACTTAAGAGCAAAGAAAAACCACAGTGTTCTGTGTCTCAGGGAGTTTCAAAGCTGTATGGGCAAATAGTGTTGTTCATACAGAGAAAGGGAATGACCCTACCTTTGCAAGAAAAGCATAGGAAATCTTCTGGTTTTCTTCCTTTCTTCCTTCTTCAGAGAGGAGGAAAGGACTTTAAAAATGTTTTTAAAAGGTTTTGCCTAAGGCACTGCACCTTTTTTTCTAAATTACGTGAAAGACAATTAAGATGTGGATATATTGAAGATGCAGAGATCTGAGGTAAAAAAGTGCCATAGTATATCGTTGTAAAAGGGTATAAGAAATCTACCAGGTGTGAGTTACCCTAGGTTCACTTTATTGCAGCACTGGATGCACCAACAATCAGCTCCACCCAACGTGCATGCAGGTGATTACCAACACACAAGTTATATAGAATCAAAACATACATATTCATCATTTTTCTCAGAAAAGACAGTCCTATGATAATCATTTCTTGGCATTCATTTACATATTCTCCTCCCCGTCACTCATGCTCAGTGATTTGGGTCGGTGGTCCTCAAGGGGTCTCTGGTGGTCATCAGTGGTCGCACACCCGTGTCCGCTGGATAACCCTCTTCTTGCGGGCATGCGCAGTATCCTTGCTGTGGATGTACCTGTCCATAACAACTTACTTCATAAGATTAATATTCCCAGGCCTGTTGTCCTGTTGGGTAGGGACTGTACATGGAACTAGCAGCATTGTACATTGCCGTGGTCAGTTAGCTTCATTACCTGTTACCTTGGTTACAAACTAATTATTCCAAGCTAATCATTCTATAGTTTCTGTCTCATGGCCTCTATCCCACGATTACATTTCCCCCTTTGGAAGTTTTCCTTCTAGGGCTTGAGTAGACTTCTCGTTAACATAAGTTTTTCTTATAGCTAAGCTTCTGTATTTTCTACAATCATCCAGTGAAAAGAAAAAAAAAGAAAGATCCAAATGAAAACATTTGAAGATGCACATCCCCATGTTGAATGGCTGCATATGATGGTTCTATTAAATGGAGTACATTTCTTCTTTCCTTTGGGAACAGAACAGTTGTGGTAGCTTAATGGCTTTACCATTGGCGTTATGGCATATTTCTAACTGAATGTAACCCCTGGAGTTTTACCTTTATTCTCAGATAGGGGGCCAATGCCCTTTAGATCCTGCCAGAAGCTTCATATAGTGAAATAATGAAGCTGCTATAAAAAGGAAGTAAGTTTTACCATACTGTTCTCTTGCATTCAGAGTGAACCAGTTCCACACTTATTACTTCATGACAAAGGAGCTTTCGTAAAATTTAGCTGCATGAACTGTATTATATAATGACAGACTGTTTAAATATATTTTTTAATTCTCTGGAGTTTTGGCTTTATAAATTTACATCTTCTATCAAACAATTGTAGTTTGAAGTATAGTATTATCCTAGAAGAACATTAACTTGCTTTGTTAATGCTTTTAGATTAACGTTCTCATGTCAGTTTTCTACCCCTCAAGAACAGAATCTTCTCTGCTCTGGAAAGTGATCCTCTCTTTGCACATCATCCTGGAGAAGATTTGTGCCGTGAGAAATATCAGGAGCTGACATTCTTGCGCTGTAAAAGGCTCTTTGAGTATGATTTTCTTACCCAGCAAGAGATCATAGAGAACCCATTAAAGATATTTAATATGGTCATCTGTATAGGAATGTACGATTGGTCTCCATGTCTCCAGTATTTCTTACATTGTGGTGTAAGTACAGTTCAAAAGGTATAGTGGTGTATATTTGAATTTAAGTGTCTTGTAATACCATCATTCTGTTTCTTTCTGCCTGTTTTATTAAAGCTATATCTTTTCTTAGTCCTTTGTTTTCAAAAGTGAAATTCATTTTAACTGTTTAGAAGAACTGCAGAGCTGTAGAATGAGGTTAGTAGATCTCTCTCATTAAGCCCTGTTTCCACTGGAATCCCACCTGGAAAGTAAAGGTGGAGCAGTATAGACAGAGCTACAGAAAGATATTTTGATGCCTACAGTTCCACCTTCTTTTGTCCGCTCCTCTGCCTCCTCTCTAGGGCAGCAGCAGCCAATGAACCTGGTTATTGGGCCCTATTTGCTGGCTATGTCTTTGCTACACATACAGGTATCAGAAACTTCCTTGCCTCACCCTTGGTGTGTTGAGTTAGGGCAGAATCCCGAAGGAACGGAAACCAGCATAAAGTTTCTCACTGCTATCAGCAGCTGGGATTCTGTTCATCAGTTGCTGCCTAGATAAATCTCTCAGAAAGAGTACTTGACATAGCTGGTCAAATAATATTAGTTAATTGATTATTACTATTCACAGGGCACGGGAAGGTCTGGGAATTATAGTTTTGTTATGTGACTATCCATCTAGAAAAACTGAAGGTAGCTTTAAAAACAGTGTTCTTGTCTGATCTTGAAGCAACTACCTTCAGTTCCCAATCCATTTGCAATAAACCAAACTAGAATAGTCTTAAAGTTGTTCTTTACTCAAGGGGACATCAGTAAGGACAAGTGGAAAGTGAGCTCATTAAGCATGTTTCAGACTTTGCAATGAAGGCTTGAACAGAGATTAGAGCTGTGAAAATTTCAGTCCTCTGTAAAGGGGCCTTGACAAGATCAAATCCTGACTTACCTCATCCAGCTGTAGTCTAAGTAGTAGTTCACTGTGCAGCCTACTTTCCCTGGTCTCTTTAATGGATGTCGCTATTACAAATTACTATGCATGTGCAATTTGTGCTTTCCATCATGGGGTCACTGATTTCATTCATAATTCTCTGTTTTTACAGATGTTTGCGGGTACAATTTTGAGTGCTTCCAAGAGGTTTGCAGACTTTGTGAAACAAGTTTATAGCATGGAGGTAAATTTTTTTTGATAACTTGTGAGAACTGGGTACCAGCTCACTGTGAGGGTCATGAAGCACTGGAACAGGTTGCCCAGAGAAGTTGTGGATGCCCCATCCCTGGAAGTGTTCAAGGCCAGGTCAGATGGGCCTTTGAGCAACCTGGTCTAGCGGCGAGTGTCCCTGCCCATGGCAGTGAGGTTGGAACTAGGTGATATGTAAGGTCTCTTTCAACCCAGGCCATTCTATGATGTACATTGTACACCGTGCAACATACACGCTTGCCATGATGGTATAAAAATTCAATTTTGATGCTATAAAATGGAAAATAATAATGTCTTAATGCCACAGAAACACCACATAGAGTCCCATGGAGACTTGGAATTGAGTGCCCTGCAGAATAAGTGCAGCCTCTTGCCCTGGTTTTTGGCTAGGATAGAGTGAATTTTCTCAAGAAGCTGGGACACCTCTGTGATGTAGAAAGAGTCAATCCTAAACAGCTTCTCCTGTCTATGCCATTTGGCCATGTGGTCAGCATTACTTTCTGGCCTGACCCTCTTTGATTTTGCAAGATATATGTGCTGAGCACACCCAAACTGAGCTTCATGCTTCTTTTGTTATTCTGTCACTTCTTACCTTGTTTTTTTTTCCCAACCATTCACCTTCCTTGCTTATTTAATTTTCTGAAATTCTGTGTTTATCTGTCTGCTCATAGACAATATACTGCTACATAGTTCTATTAGAGATCAGGATGAATTCTTCTAATGACTCTTAGCCTACAAAAAAGTGCGAGGGTATGAATTTCTCAGAATAATTTTGCCTGAGGCTTCAGGTTTGTTTATTTATTTATTTATTTTATTCTCACTTGCTTTTCAAAGGTTTGTTACTGAAGAGTATGTACTACAGGCCAAACCAGTCTAGGATAAGGGATTCCAGTATGCACATTTCAGTGTGGCTTCAAGTAGGCAGTGTTTCCAAAGGCTGCTAAGAACCAAGTGTATGCATACATTGATCTGATATAAATTTATCCCCTTAAATAATGTAGGCTATTCACAATTTTAAAAATAAACATCCTCATTCTGGTTTTCTCCTAACTGGGAGTTCTCAGAACTGCTTGTAATCCAAGCAGAGTTGCTGATTTTCACCGTGCAACAATTCTTTCAACCCAGACAGCTGAAAACTTCATGGATGTAATATTCTGTACCTGCCTGAATGAGTCAGCCATCAGCAAAGGGAAAAAACCCAACTGTTGCCCTACTGCAGGCATGATGTCCTAGCCTTAGGGCTACGTTTGATTGGTTTCTTGCAGTTGGAAGTTACTTTCCGACCACTGAGTTTGCAATAATTTGACAATCTTACAGTTTGAATTGTTGTAATAAAGTAGTCTTAAACTGCGCCTTATGTCTCCTTATTCAGATTTTTGGATGTTTTGCTCTGACTGAACTCAGCCATGGAACTAATACAAAAGGCATACGTACTACTGCTACATTTGATCGTAGCACTCAGGTTAGTCCTTAGTGCACAGGAATAATGTTTTACACTGTTAAGCGCTGTTATTTACTAACAGGACAGAACGATCCAGGGATTTCTTTGATTAACAAGAAAGAAGCAAGTTCAATTCCAAATGTTAAAAAAAGAAAAGTCAAATACTAACATTATTATAAATATTTACAATAAACCCAGCAATTTCTGTTTTCTTGCACAAATAGTTATTTTAGCTTCTGGTTGTGATATCAAATAAGGATAGCATCCTTCTCCTTTGTTGTGTCTCTTAAGGAATAGTTGGACATGCGGATTGAATTGTCTTTTGTCTTTAAATATGAAGGTTTTATATACAAAGATTAGGATTATTTCTTGAGGATGAGAAAAAGAAATACAAAAATGAGAAAAGACTATCAGAGACACAAAGAAAAAAACAATAAACTGCTTTTTCCATTAGGATAGTGTTACTATTAATAATTTGTTTTCTGAAATCAGCACTCCTGCAGAAATAAAGTCATCATCCTAATATTTTTTTTTCAGTAAATGAATAGAATTCATCGTAGTTTTACATTAAGGGAGAAGAAAATAGAAGTTAAGAGAGGAGGCTGATAGAACTTTCTGTTTTTGTCGTCTACATGCTTGGTTTATGCCAAATTGAATTTAAGATATGTTATTTAATGTCCCAAGAATGTAGGCTCATCATCTCCCCCAAAGACCCTGGCATTTTATTGCCCCATGCTGTACAGAACTGGGTGGTATTACTGTCAACAATTTTACATTATGAAGTGACTTCAAAAGAATAAGAAATGAGAATCATAGCTTTGAAACATAGGATTTTATATTGTTCAGTAGGACAACTTTCCAGTTTGCATTTTTTCATATACAAGCAATTCAGTGAGCATTTATGCAACATGGATGCTCAGATCTCTTTCCAGGAAGAAAAGCACACCAAAACTTGTGAGATTGGCAGCATGAAAAGTTCCATTTGAATAAATTGAGTTTTAGGCTGGTGATGAGTGCACTGCACTAAAAGTGACTGAAATGACTAAATCTTTGTTAAGGTCATGAAGCTCTGATTTCAGATATTTTTAACATCCACAAAGCACACTATTTGCAATCTAAAAATCCCAATGCTGAAGCTATGTCTAAATTTCAGGATACATGTATTCTTCAGAATTCCCACTACTCATGGTCCCCAGTTGTCCAAACTGGGAAGTGTGCTGCCTTTCACACTGTCAACAGGCTTCCTTCCCATACAAAACTGCGTAAGAAGGAAGTGGTCCCTGCACAGGTTTCACCCCTCACAGTCCCTCACATGGACTCACAGCTCAGCTTAACCTAAGATCTAGGAAACGCTTCTGAGTCCATCACTTTGCTTTACTTTTTTTGAACTGCTTAAATGAGCAATTAAAAGGCTGAATTTCAGGCTTTGCAATGTAGTAATGAACTTTTTTTAGCTCTAAATTTTTCCTAGCTGCATGTATCCTCTCCAAAGTTAAACACAGTAAGAGTACAGAATGAAACCCTGGCAGTTAATGGGTGTTTTCAAAACATTACCATGATCATGAAAAAAAAAAAACAAGAAAATAGTCATGAGTTGATTTTTATGATTTATATCATTTGCTCCTTTCTTTCCTGGCTACAGGAATTTATCATCAATACTCCTGACTTTGAAGCTGCAAAGTTCTGGGTTGGTAATATGGGGAAACATGCCACTCATGCAGTTGTGTATGCCCAGCTCTATACTCCTGATGGACAGTGCCAAGGATTACATTCCTTTATTGTACAGGTAGAGTAGAAATATTGATAATATTTTTCCTTTTTTTTTTTTGGGGGGGGGGGGAGGGGAGTGGGTTCAAATGAAAGACTTTCTGTTATGCTGTTAGTTATATCTGACCACCAAATTCTTTAATTAATGCCTTCAAAATTTATTGCAAATGTAACAAGTGTACTTCTTTTAAATGTTCACTGATTTTGTGATGGTTGTACAGCCAGTTTTATACTCTCAGTTTTCTGAAAAAAATGCTGAAAAACGCAGAAGACCTGAAAAGCCTCAAGATTATTATGCTACTGATATAGCTAGAGCTAACCTACGCCTTATGAAGTCCTTAAAGTCTTGGATGAGCCTTACGGTGACTTATGTCAGTGATGTAATTACTGTCATATTGCCAAAGTAATTTTCATTAAGGAATCTATGTCCTGAATGAGAGGATATATAAGTACCAGTTATATACAGGGCTATGTGCTTTAAAAAAACGGAGAGTTTTCTTTAGCATTAATAACAGAATAGAAGTTGGGAATATTTTCACTGTTTGAAAAGTTCAACCAATAACTTTCATTGTTCCACAGCTGAAATAATGTTTTATTCCACTTCTATGCAGATTCGAGATACAAAAACTCTCCTACCAATGCCAGGTGTGATGGTAGGTGACATAGGAAAGAAACTTGGGCAGAATGGGTTGGATAATGGGTAAGTCAATCCATTTGAAGGAGGAAACATTGTAGACTATATCACACTGTAGTGGTGCAAATATCCTTCTCTGTCAGTTCCGTCTTTACTTCTGAGGTATTCACTAGTGGTTTTAAGTTGTTGATATTTAAAAAAAAAAAAAAAAACAAAACCCAAAAAAACCCCAAAATAAAAAACCCCAGGTCTTTCTGCTTCTCTCACTTTTTAGAATATGAAGTACCACTGATACTCTGTCAATGTCCCCAAGCATTCTTGCAGTCATAGACTCTGCAACAATAATAATGAAAAAAACACCCCAAAATCCATTAAGTTCTGAGTAAAGAACTTAATCATCCTCTCTTAGACCATCTGGGCATAAGCCCTTAATTATTTTTTCTGTCGATTTCCAGCCCACAGGAAGGCTAATGGAGGCCCACAGACAAGGTTTATTGTTAGTAAAGATGTACGATTAATGAGATTCAGTAGAGAAACTAGGTATCTTCTTTCAGCCATGGGATTTCTGGACTAATCCTGTTCAGTGCAAAAGGAGAAGGTTACTTTGTTGGGTTTTTTTTTTCTGTATTCTCTGTGTACAGTTGAAATAAAAAAGGGCTCCATTTCTGAGTCATGAACTTCAATGGCTTTACTGTGTCTCTACTTCACTAACCAGAGGCGTTTGATGGGGAGGAGAGACAGTAAGGAAATTGAGGTAGATTTCTAAATTAAAACACCCATTATGTAAAATTTATGATTTAAACCTCTGTATTAGTTACATAGCTCTGTGTAAAGACAGAGACCTAAAATATTAAGAGGAGGGTGAGCCGAGGTCACTTCTTTATGCCTCAAATTTACCATTTTCTGTTGATTCAGTTCATTACAGAGATTATATATTGTCCTTCATAAGATGCCATTGCAGTAAACGAAGTATAGACATCCTAAGGTATCCTGCTTCCAAATGTAATGGCTTTGACTGGCTCTCCAGAAGGTGATAGGTCTTCTGTAGTTTGTTGTCTGTACCAGCCTCCTCCTGATGTCCCAAATAGCCTGTAGTGGCAAAAATAGCACTGACTTTTATATTTATGTAGATCGTTCTCATTGATGCTCTGTTGCCTGAAGACATAGACGAAATAAAGATGAAAAAAACATATAGGAAATGAAGTTTTATAGAGGAAAAAACGTGAGAAAAGGTCAGGAAAAGAAGGGGGTTTGGTTTTGGTGGATATTTTTGCCTGCATCTGCATTACAAACTAGTAGCCACCAGATGGCACAGCAGCATGGGCCTGAGTAATCTAAACGTAATTCAGCTTCATATTTCTGTAGAAATGGTCAATTTCTGCTGTTCATTCTTAATTTGCAGCATAGTTTATGTGCAACGCGAGGAAGGAGAAGAGTGTGCTTGTCACATAGCATCAAAATGCATATAATTTTAAAATCTTTCATCTAATGGGAAAAAACAGAGCATTTGTTAAAATATCAGTAACAACTGGATAATCTGAAATGATAATCCACATAATACACTGTAAATAAGAGATACCAATATCTTCTATCTTAATGTCAGATGGAATCCCCTTTCTTACGTATGACATCACGTGTCATTTAAAGCAATCATAGGGCATTCTAATCTTTCACTTTACTGTGCATATGCTGCTTTAAAAATATATTATTTTCTGTTTAAAAAGCAGATTAAGACAGTCCCTGCACTAGAAACCTTAAGTTTAAGACAGCACCTGCAGATTAAGAGAGAGGGAGAAGGGCCTGAGGATACCAATAACAAGCTCAATTCAGCTGAAAACTGTCAGAGCCTGCGTTCCTGATCTACCTCAGCTATTTTCTTTGGAGATGTCTGAGGCTAGATGCCAACATTGTTCACAAGAACTAGAGAACTAATTTTTTCTTTGCTCAGACTGAACTGTCAAAAGCATCGGGACTTGTGCACATTGCTTCTCAGATACGTGAAGGCCTGGATGGGGACTGGAAAGGTAGTAGCTTTGTAGCTCTGCATTTGTTTACAAAGAGGACAAGCTATGCCGCTCTAGAAGATGGACAGTTGGTTGCATGATCTGCAAAATGCCAAGATTCACAGGGAAGCATTTCTTCTTGGGCTACCAGACACTGCCTTGTCAAGGTGTTTTCTTAAACAGTTTAGTAATCTTAATTTATCCCAGTAATCTTTAGTAATCCTAACTTATCCCAGAGAAAGCACAGCCTGCAGTTTTTGTGCGCTATAGAAGGTGACGAGAACACATTCAATTATGCTGTGACTACAAGTGTTAGTCTCTACTGCATGCTTTGCCAGTTTTTTGAATGTATGTGTGACGTCTGCTTCAACTACCACGGACACTTAGTAAATCAGATATATTTCCATGTAGTTGCACTCAGGATAAATGGTCAGAGTGAAGATCAAGAGTCTGACATCACTGGCAGAGGTGTCAGATTTTGTTCCTGCACTTCAAGAAGTTCATGCTACTAATTTTAAATATGACTACAGAGAGTTAAGCTCCTGAACACTTATGTAGGACAGAGAGAAAAAATTCCAGAACTTCCCTGGAAAATGCCATTGATTTATGCTATGTAAGAGAACAGAGTAGGTGATTGTAGTTGTCCATTCTGGCTTTGGAATACAATTAATCTCTTGGGTCATTTGGCTGAAGGCTGGTTTCCTGCTAATGCAGAGTGTAATGTTTTCAGTAAGAGAAAGAATTTCAGAAGTAATGTGGGAATTTTTGCAGTGTAAATCCAATTGACTAGCCTGTTCCTTTTAAGTCTGTCTTTCCAAATAACTCTCATAGCTTCATAATTGGAATGTCCAAAAATCATAGGGGTTTTGCAAGTCTTTGTAACTTCAGCTACCCTGACAGAAAAGACAAAATCACTTTAAAATGTTTTAAAATATTTTTCTTTCTCTCTGTCATGTACAACAATTTGTGTAATCAATACATAAATGGTTAAAAATAGAACTCCAGTTTTTCTTATGGAGAGTTTAGACTGGTTTTGTTTTGTTACAGAAAAATAAATCAGACTGCCACCAGGGGATGCAAGTGCTTCAGTCTTTATTTTTATCATATAAAAATGTCCACCTGTTGCCAGTGCTCTGGCAGTCTTTGAAACGTGCTGTTCACTGAAGTCCCAAAATGGATGTAGCTGAGGAAAAAACTCTTGAGTATTTGAGATCCAGGAGCTTTTCAATAAAATGCATGGCAGGCATAAGAGGAGGCTTGGGTAATTGCTGATGTGTATTTCTCTTTCTTCCTTTGGTTTGTTTTTTTTTTTTTTTTGTCTAGCCTGGCTATTGTAGCATTACCAAAATTGCCCATTACTGCAGTGCATGACAATAAATGGTTGCCACTGAATTGGTGGTGAACCAATTTCATGTCCAGGTATAACTAGCAGCAAATTGCTGCTTTCCCCACTCCAGAAATAGAAATGATGCCCAACTGAATCCGCATGGGGAAGAGTTTGAAAATCAGTTATAATTGTGTTTCTTAAGTGATGCTTAACATGCCTGTCTTTCTAAAACATGCTCTGAGCTTGTTCAACTGTATCCAGTGATACCATGTGTAGTTTGTTGAGCAGACAAAACCTATGATAATGGAAGAACTAGTGAAATGAAGCTATCAAAGATTCAGCAAACCACTGCCAGACAAAAAGCTATTTATTTTAACTGAATTGTTTGTAGGGGAGAAAAGGATCTTTCTGGGGGAAGAAGAATTGTTAGCTGTATCTAATTATAATGATGGACTTCAGAAAACTGAAGGTTTTTATTAGCTGTTTAACAACCTTTCATGTATAATTAAAGTGCGTTCAATCTCTCGGCACATATAACATATTAAGACATTCAGCATGTTCTCTCGCAATCACTGAGGCCAGTTTTCTGGATGCTGAAAACAAAGCAAAACACCCAAGAGGAAATGGGTAAAGGGGATTCATTAGGCAGAAAAGCAATAAAAAGAGATTGAAAGTTCTGAAAGAGATTGCAGGTTCTGAAATCCCTCACTACAATTCCTTGTATATTGGCAAAGATGGCATACATCACACAACCTCCAGGACTTTACAGATGACTTTTAAATGGTTAATTCTTTTTTTTTTTTTCTTCGTTACTATTTCAGTATCAGTGTCAATAATATGTTAAGATTCTGCTGCTGCTAGTTTAAGGGTAGAACAAATGACAGTCTAGACCTTCAAAGAGTTTTTGTTTCCTAGTGTTTATCCTCTTAATTCTTATTTAGACTTTGCAATGGTTGCCGTTATTTCACTAGGAAGATGAAAGCTGTAATACATGGTTGAAGTCTAAATAGTCTCTTCGAGCTTCATCTTACAACCTGAACTAGTACTTGGGTGAAGATGATTTCCATATTCAGCTTCTTTGGTTGTTTGCTTCTACTCCCACACTGCCTTTTTCTTTGTGCTGGGACAAACATTTATATAGCTGTGTAGGGGACTCGTCTAGGGAACTGGAACTGCCTGAAAACTAATCCAACAAACCCTCTAAAATTTGGCTGTCTTCAACCAGATCATTTGTCAGGTCTGGTTCACTGCAAGGCTACAGAAGAGGGGACAGGGAAAGGGACAGTACAGGGATGTGAATAAGAAAGCAAATGTAGAAATCAGTCCTGCTTCTCAAACAAGCTTGTGCCTGTTTAACATTTTTATTGTCTTGCAGCTTCTGACCAGTCTCGCAAACAGTTGTGATAGTAATGTAACAGCTATAAAATAAAAATGTTAAAAATGCCTGTACCTGTATTTACATTATCTGAATACAGTACCATCAATCCTTCAGTCCTTGTGCACAGTGCCAATTTCACAGTTAAATCAAGTATCTTGCAAGACACATCTTGCATATTTGCAATTTAAGTCAAAACAGTGATTTTTGCAGTGGAATCATTGATATTTCCATTTTGCCCTCTCCACTTAGTCTCCACAGTCAAGATTAGACACTATATGGGTACATACAGTGCTGTGCACGTTGCTAAGATATAGTCACATTGCTAGAAAGTGCTGCCTTATCCCCTCATTTTTGTCAC